TCATGTCCACAAACTCATCACACACAATTGGCATCTTTCTGTCACAGAATGGGTGTTGCACATACTTCCCATGCAGGTGCTTGTATCTCTCATCACTAGGGTGTACAGCTACGGCTGAGTCTCCCAGCATGGTCTCAATACGAGTGGTGGCCACAACTACTTCTTCATCTAAAATAAAAAGATTTATCTCTTTTTTTTAAACACTGAAATAGTTACTTACAGGGTGGAAGGGGTGGAGAATTATGGGTTAGTTTGGATTAAGACCTCCAACATAAAAAGAAATTAAGATGAAACCTCCTGATATGCACGGACACATACACGCAAGCTTTTTCTAAATGATGTTGACATATCCACCAAAAAATTCTAAAAGATCCATTCCCAAATTTATTACATAATACTGAAAGGAGCTCAGAGCGCGAAAAAAACAATGCTGGTTTACGCAAAATACTATCCATTCAGCTCATCAAAAAAACAGAGGAAATACAGACTTGGCATGTAAAGATAGATAAGATAGGCACCTGAGGAGTAGGAGAGAAAGGAGTGAAGAGAATTCAGGCATTGCCATGTTGTGAGTCAAGTGATGCAATCAGAACACACTACAGACAATAATTTTCTTGTTTATTTGTAATCATCCAATAAAAGAAGTCCAGCACTTAAAATTCCAAGTTGTCTTCATATCATTGAAGAGATTCACATGAACAAGACTGATAAACTTCAACAAATTCTCTTTCAGGAAAAATTCAGCCACTTGAATAATATATATTAACTTCTGCTAAAATTCCTCTTTTCATAAATGTTCCAAGAAATTTTTATAATAAATCAGGCAACTTTCAAAACTTTCTCTTCCATAAGGCAAGAGGCTACAACTCTACATTTGAGAGTTAAAAATTACAAAATACAAACTCTTTGCTTTACATAAAACAATAAAAAATATACCCACCAGAATCTACCACCTTGTAAGCAAAGGAGACCAATACCCCAAACTCCACCTTGTCCTTATACCCTGGCACTGGAAGGGGGGTCCTGCCCGTGATCTCCTTCTTGTCAACCTGATAATTAAACCAGGAGAACAATGTGAGATTTTCAGTATTGCACAATGCATATGTTTTAAGTGACTGATGTTGAGAAAAAAAGATTACTTTGTTTTGATGTAATTAAGTAGTATATCCTTAAGAGATTATTACAAAAAAAGGTCTTACTTTGAATGTCTCAACATTTGAACACCCTAATTAATTACAATGAAAAAAAAAAGAAAAAAAACATTAAGATAACGTTTCCTTACATGTTTTCTCATAAACATTATAACATTTAAAAATGTTTCTCTTGAAACAATGTAATAAGCATTATCTTTTCAAACATTTTTAAAAATGTTTCTCAAAAACGTTAAAACATTTTTGAAACCATACCAAATCAATATCTAAACAATTAAACACCCTACTTAATTACATGGAAACAATATGGTTATAATTTGGAAAAAAGGAAAAAATAAAAACATTATGTTTTCTAGAAACATTATCACGAAGTTGAAAAGCATTTTTCTTGAAACATTGTAATAACATTTTAAACACATTTTAATAACATTTGTTTGAAATGTATAAACCATAGCACTGTTTATTTGAAATAGCAGACATGAAAATGAGATGAACCCATGTCCCTGTACATAATATACATATAATACTTACTTCTATATCTGAGATGGCAGAGTTCAAGGTACAGGACCAGTTTACAAGTCTTGTGCTTCTGTATATAATTCCTTCCTCGTGGAGCCTCACAAAAGCTTCTTTTACAGCAATGCACAGTTTCTGAATTGATAGAAAATACAATGTGATGCATTATTCAAATAAAATAAACAAAATACATGAAAATAATATGAGGATCTGTGTGTTAAAGTCTTAATAACTTGGGCCTTTGGGAAAATCAGTTGGGATTTCTATAAGAAATGAATATCCATATCAAGGGTCACAATTATCTGATGTTGCATTACTGGTTTTCTTCTTGTACTCTCATTTTTCTCCAAATATATCAGTTTGAAAATTACCTACAACATCAAATATTTGAACCAAATAAATGCTGAACTGAAGACAAAAAGAAAATCATAATTACGATATTTTTTATTTATCTACTTAACTGATCAATCATTATCACTTTTATCAATCAATGAAAAGAATTCAAACCAGCATGTGATCAGTGATGTTCAGCGAGTACTCACAGGATCCATGGTAAAACAAGCCCTTTCCCAGTCAAATGAACTGCCCATCTTCCTGAGCTGATGATAGATATTGTCTCCTTTCCTAAAATCACGGACAAGATGCACAATGATTTAAAACATGCATGACATTAAAATATATACACAGCAGAACAGAACATCTGCTAATCCAACATGCATTGAAAATGGTTATCCTGTATTTATACAAATATCTAAATTATTGTCAGGACTTGCTCTCATCTGTTCAAAACCCAGTGATCTGACATCATTATTTCCATATCCTAAAATTATCTAATAAGACATAACAACCTACCACCTTATTTACATTTATATAACATAATATTTAACAAATATATCAATTGAGTCTTCCAATATTTTAATCGAGAACTCACTCGTTCTTCCATTTCCACACTTCATCCACAAACTTTTCTCTTCCCAGATCATGCCTGCTCTGTCCCTTCTCTCTCATCAGTTTTTTCTCCACCACCACCTGTGTGGCAATACCAGCATGGTCGCACCCTGGGTTCCACAGGGTAGTTTCACCTCTCATCCTGTGCCTTAAGTCAAATATCATACAGTCAAATTATTATTATTAATTATTATTTATTTCGGTACAAGTATGTTTTTACAATTCATATGACATATATTCCGCAATTAGAGCTTAATCCTACCCTGGGTTTCACCTCATTCAGTGCCTAAAGTCAAACATAAGCTGAAACAACTGCAATGCCATGCCCTACGTGCAGGGTGGTTTCACTTCAAATGCTGAGTATGAAGGAAAACCCCATGCATTAAGCTTTTAGCCCAAATATCAATAATTTTAACTAAAAAGTTTAATTTAAAATAAAAAAATGAACATTATCTTTCTCCACTGATAACAATCATGAGAGCATTTAGTTTATTGCAACATAGCAGTGAAATTCTCCAACTTACCATCTCGTGATGCAGTCCTCCACAGCATTAGTCAAACCATGCCCTAGATGTAGGTTACCTGTCACATTGGGAGGGGGAATTACTATTGTAAACTGCCCTTTAGGATTGTCTTCATAGGCCGAGGATCTCTGAATCAGTGGAATTTCAAGAAAAAAACATCAATTCTGTCACAATTCTAATTACAAAATAATCAATGTAAATCAATTGGAATTATCAAATAAGTTGTTTCCACCTTTTAAAGAACAACTCGTTTCCATGTGCCATGTAACTTATATTCTCATACTGTATGCAATTTATACACACCCCATACTCTGGTTTGAAGAAGCCACTTTTCTCCCACCAACTATACCAGGCTGCCTCTACATACTGCGGGCTGTAGGCTTCAGGCATGGCACCACTCACATCTGAATAAAAAAAGCATATGGTATTTTCTAATAATATCAATAATTTATAAATAGATATTTAAGTCAATTTGGTGTTTCCAAAAAAGATAACACTGACCCAAAAATAAAGAAGTTTATAATAATAATAATAATAATAATAATAATAATAATAATAATAATAATAATAATAATAATAAGTGTTTGTTTTCTTGCACTTGTTACCTTTCTTTTCTCCTTCAGGAGTGTTCTTGTCATATGTAATGATGACTTTCTCTTTCTTTTCTTTGGCAGGCTTCTTTTTCTTAAAATAAAAATAACTACATATATTGTTTCTTTAAAATACTTAGTACAGTATACACAAGAAGTATTTACTTTTACTGCTAAATTACAGTTAGAACTTACAAAGAAAATTTGATCAGGGCCTTATTTCTTTCAATGAAAACACACCTCTCCAGCTCCTTCAGTGTTCTTCTGCTGCTGCTTGGCCTGTTTTGCCAGAAATTTCTCCATTTTTTCCTTCTTTTTAGCTTCTTTTAGCAGCTGTGCTGGTGTCTTCTGCACAGGTTCCCCATCACCATTTGCTGCTGTGTCAGCCATAGTCACTGCAAAATAAGATGCTATTGATAAGGAAATGGTTTCCATTTAATATATTTCATGTTCAAAATTTTTGTCTAAAAAATATAAAACAGGATCCAATCCTGATACTATTTCAATCTCAAACTGAACATTTACCCGTTTTCAGAAAATGAAAGATTATATATCATTTCAATTAAAATGTTTCTTATCATCTGTTAAACAATTCTACTTATCAAATCTAATATAAATCTAATATATATCAAGCATAATGTATTGATGAATCGATAGAGACGGACTGCACACCCCAGAGGTCTCTCAGATTTGCCTCTGCTTGATGCGCATGAGCTGAAAGGATGGTTCACGCCCCAAACGATTCATGCCACACCAGTCATACTAATTATCTGAATCAACCAGAATCAAGATCTTGATCGACAGAGTTCGAAACATTGTGTTGAGTTAAACTCAAATGGAACTTAAAGTGGAAAAAAAAAAATGGAAAGTTATTTTGATGTTAAAATTATCTTATTAAGATAGTATTTCATGTATTTAGTGGAATTTGGGGATATTTAAGTATTAAGTGACACCCTCCAAGATGTACTGGTACACATTTTGGTACTTTTGTAGTATACCCCCCCCCCCCCCCACCCTGTAACTTTCTGTAACTTTCACTTTTCAAACAGTTTTTTACATTTTCTTGTTCATCTATGGCAAAGCTATTTAAATAAAATGCTTTGTAATTACCTGTGGTCACTTCGAGTTTTAATCAAGTTTAATCCAGCCCAGTGAAATACATTGTGAGAATGTACCATGCATCTTTATTTTGGCAGGGCACAGCCATTCATAATTTTTTCAGAATGATAATTGCATCACGTGCTCAACTTTATTCTTGATGGAGAAGCGAGAACGAGGCCAAGGAGGAGACAACGACCGTAAGAGAGCTCCTAGAATTTCTTACAAATTCAAACAATCGGTAAGAAATATTACAGCTATGGATACATAAATGTGTGAATACTAACTGTCTCCTGCGAATGGAAGCTGTTTAGCTGACTTGGTTTTTGTCATCAAGCTTTATTTTGACATTGATCATAACGTATACCATAACTATACAACTGACAATAGATCGTGACAAGTGCGCTTCAATACAGGTGCATCGGTGAGTACTGCTCACCGGATAAACAATAGTTTCAAGTCAGCCTTATTGCCTCGAAAACACATATCTCTCTATATATATATCACAATGAGCTCAAATAATAAATCAAAATACTTTGATACGATCAAAGATTCAAAGAGCTCTATGACAGACCGAATGAAAACCACAGCTGACAAGAAATCCACCAGTCAGCCAGCAAAAAGATCCCATAGTGAGGTTTCTAACACAAGTACAGAAGAAACATCTTTGATTTTGATAAAGCTAGACGAAATAGAATCTGAAATCAAAAATACTGTAAAAACAAATGATCTAAAAGATATTGTGCAAGAAATGGTCACGGAAACTGTCACTAAACTTTTACTTAATTTCAAAGACGAAATCGGGACAAATCTTGAAAAATTAGAAGACAAGCATAAATTAGATATTGGAGAGCTAAGGGAAAGAATCGATTCACTGGAATTGGAAAATGACGCTCTCCGAGAACAGCTAGCGGGAAAAGAAAAGTCTCTCAGAAAGCTCACGGAAACAGTGGAGCAAGCAAACTATGCGTCAAACAATGCTATCAAAATGGCGAACTATAATGAACAATATTCCCGGAAAAATAACATAAAAATCTACGGGGTGATAGAGAAGGAACATGAAAACACTCGGGATGTTGTGTGCAAGGTGCTTAAGGAACAGGGAGAAGTACAGATAACGGCTGATGACATCACGGCGGTGCACAGAATTCCCGGTCGGCAAGGGTCTCCCCGGCCAATTCTAATGCATGTTAAAAACACGGAAATCAAGGTACGTATAATGCGGAGTAGATCTACCTTGAAAAGGCATGACAAAGGTGTTCGGCTGGCTGACGATATTACCAAGCTAAACGCTCAATTACTGCAGCGCCTAAAGGAAAACGAGCAAATTGAACAGTCGTGGTTTTATAATGGGAGCGTGTACGGTAAAGTGAAACACACTGGCCAGAGAATGAGATTTTCTATTGACGATGACATTGACAAGAAAGTTAAAATAAGAAAATAAAACATTAAACCAAATATATTTTGATTAAAAACCAATATATGATGAGTTACAT